TCATTGTTTCCATGGTTTTAAATATACACGATGATAAAGCTATGGGTCGATATGAATCTGCATTTCCGTTCTGTTTTCCAGGTTTTTTTATAGGTACTACGATGTATTCTTTCCACATTGGTGGAAAAGGAATCTTATTTATCCAAATCGAATTGAATAGTTCTAACAGGGCTTTCTTATGGCCTAAGGGCATTTTATGCAACATATTGTATGAAATGTTATCCGCCCCGGGAGATTTATTATTTGTTGATTTAATGCATTTATCGAGTTCTCATAATTGAAATAGTTATTGTAGAAAGGAGGTGTTTCTATTTACGGTAGCTATTTGTTGAGTAATGTTGTTTTCAACCCATGGGGACGAGATTTTTGTATGGAATTCGTTTATCCAGTCTTCTTTGGGGTCTATTGGGGGTTTATTTACTTGTTTTCGGTTTTTATATCGTTTTACTTTGTTTCACACTTCTTTAATTGGTGTATTTTGATTTAGATTTTGGCAATAATTAATCCAGCTTTTTTTCTTAGTTTCTTTGAAAGTTTTTTTAGCTACTGCATCAAGTCTTTTATATTCAGTTAGATTATTAAGATTTGGAGCATGTGTATAGACGGGACCAAAAAGAAATCATAAATATTTAATTTTAATTAAAAGAATAATTATTGTCATTAACAATTAAATGAGCACGCCGCTTGTTCAATCACAAATTAACCCCTTAATTTGTAATCTCACATTATTCTTAACTTCTTAATCTTTTTAGTTTCACCGTGTATAAGTTTGCATTATATATATTGCAAAACCATATCGTATGATAATTTAATAATTAGTTCATTTACCTACAACTAAATAAATTGCCGAATAATAATATTTTTTCTACTTGAACTTCCTAAGTGTCGCAATTAAGGCGTAGATTAAATTGTATTGTAAGCAAAGTTTGGTTGTATGGTATGATAGAAAGCAATGACCTATGTGCTTAGGTATGAATTATTTGTGAGATTATAAATTGGGGATTTGAGCTCATATGAACACAGTCTATATTGAGTAGTTACCGAACGAACACCATATTGTGTAATTACGAGTTGCTGTCAATAAATAATCACTTTACTCTACAACTTCAACATTTATTAACCCTATCAACATCGATCGACGAGAACCGGACAAAGGGGCATACGAACCGAACCGAACTTCAAATACTAAGTTCGATATTTTTCCACCGCTGTTCTGGTAAACATACCTTCAACCTTGAGCAGAGATCTTTCGGACACTCGATTATATAGCGAGAATAGGGGACCTCTTAGTCTATATATTATACGTCATTGGAGGATACTAATTCTCAGGATTGATACATCTTAAACAAAAAATTTAAACAGGATTGCTTAAGAAAGCGCCCTACAAGCCAATCAACCATTGTAAATCAAAAATTAAAATCAAATAACAAAATGGCCAACATTTGAAAAAATCTTTTTTACCAATTTTTGCATGTTAAAATTGATTTTTTGACTTTTTTTAAATCATTAATTGTCTGTAAGGGCGCTTTCTTTAAATAATCTTGTTCGAATTTTTTGTTTTGTTTCGTTTTGTTTCAGGTTGGTTATATTTATTTGAGAAAAATGTGACAAGCAGCACCATGGCTGGTGAATAACAGGATAGTACCGACCTACATGAAACATAATATGGTATATTTTATAAGAAATGAAAATAAGAAATTTGTATTGTTATAAACAAAGATTAATTTTATGTGTTGATGATTTTGTGTAAGTTTAAATTACTTTAATCATATTTCTGCAATGCAGCATTTTCTATAAAATATTCAAACAATAATTGGTTTGTATACAAAAACTAATTAATAATTGAGCAAACGGTAGGTAGTTAAAGATAAAAAATATATATTTAAATAATTTATAAAACCTTGATGTAAAAATTAAAAGTTTATCTAGTCAACGCTTACTTACAATATTATTTTCTCCTAAGAACTGATTTTCATAATAAGGCCACGTTTTTCTTAAAAAATTGAAGCAGTAATTTGGTGTTGAATATTTGTCGATAATCCCTACATCTGATTATGTAAGAAAATATTCCGGGTAAGCTCAGTATATTCGGAACGAATAGGCACTGAAAGAAGAAAGCTCAGTATTGAGAGAAAGTTGTCTTGGTATTACACTTCGTCACTTTCTTCCTCTGAATCACTGTTCTCCACATTGATAAGAATTTTGTTTAAAACAGGAATGTTTTTAAAATATTCTTTTTCGATGTTTTTTATATACTCTATTGATTTCTTCCAGTTATCCTCAGAGATACTTTTAAATTCAGAATCTATTAGTTTCACGACAGTGTTGTAACATTTTGGACTTACATTTTTTTGTCTTACATTATATTTCAGTTGAGACCATAACAACTCTATTGGATTTAAAATGCAGTAATATGGTGGTAGTATTAAAGTTGTATGTCCATTTTTACTTGCTGCATCATCAATAATATATTCCTTTACAAATAATTTTGTACCTCTACTAATTGGTCTTTAGTGTAGCAATCTTCAAAATATAGATCTTGTGATAATAAAAAATCTTTCAATTCATCCTTTCTAGAGTATTTATTCGGAATTTTTTTAAGTTGTCTAGAATGATATGATGCATTATCTAAAACAATAACACTGTTGCCTGCTAAATTTGATAATGAGTTATTTTTAAACCACGATTAGAAAAGTTCACCCGTAATATCTTTATGATAGTCGAAACAACTGTCTTTAATATCTTTTGCAAATAATAGTAAGCCATCGGTTACCCAACCGTCTTCCCTCCACAATGCAAAATGCATATTAGTTTGGCCCTGGAAGCTGGAACATTAACTTTGTACTTTACATTGTCAATACTCCAACCTTTTCCAATTGACAAACCACGTTCCATCTAAGTAATAAATTTTTCTTCCGCTATTTCTGTACTCGGTTATCTTTTCCAAATATTCATTACGCCATTTTATTAAATGGGCACTTTACATTATAGTATGTTGTTTATTTTTTTTGTATTTAAAACCATTTGATAGTAAAAATTGTCTTAAAGTTGATTAACTACAATTAATAATATTTTTAGGTTTAGTGTGGGTATAATATTACCTGTAAACATATTACAAATGGTTTCTGAAATGGGACCTAAAAGATGTTGCTCAATAGATCAATGTCGTCCAAAGTCGCTCCTTTTTTGTCTATTTGTAATGCCCTCCTTTATAATTCGATATACAGTAGCACATGAAACTTTTGTTAAAGCCGCAGTTTTTAAAACACTCGCGTGCCGTTCCAATTCTTCACATAATCCATTAAACACATTTAACACAATTTCTTTAGCATCTTTTGATAAATGTTTTTTTTTCTGACTTTTTAATACTTCTTCCACTTGGTCCAGCAACATTTTCAGGATTATTTGGTGGTAGAATTTCCTCATTTTCTTCAACAATTTCTACTTCATTATTCTCAACAATTTTTAATGCACTATTCTCCCATGGACGCCCCATTTTTATTTACTTACTATTTTTCTGATAGCGAAATCGTCACTAATAAATGTGTGCTCTCTTTACAGAGTTTAAACTAAAAATTATATGTATTACAATACCGAAAGTTTTGTTATCAGTCGTTCAGAATTTTGTGGAAATTTAAAAACCTTGGTCAGTACAGAAGGGCTGTGACAAAAACCAGACAATCAAGTAAGACGACATTGAAAACTTATAAACTTTTATTGATAGGTATAAAAAGGGGCTTACATCAGCAACTTTTACCAGTAGCATAAATAAAAATATTTTTTGATTAAATAGACCTAACAGTTATAATTATTTAAATATAATATATTTATCATTGTAGCTAATGACCTTATATTTTACAGTAATTATTTTTGCGTTTTTCTGTATACTATCCTGTAACAAGGCAAAATAATATTAAAGAGGAACTAGTAAAACAGATGTCATTTGATCTAAGCATTGTTCGGTATCACTTGTACACAAATTGGTCTATCTCTTTAAATTTCTCAATTATTTGTAACCGGCCTATATCTTCTTTTAAGAAGTTAACTGAGGTGCCCTCTAGAAAATCCTCTAGCACCCTTCTTTTATCTCATGGGAAATAAAAAAAATCTGTTTAATTCAAAGATAAAATAATATTCAAACATCATGTTCGATTCTAATATTTCATGTTAGTATCTAATAAAGGAGCTGAGAAACTTTTTTTTGAAAATATGAATTTTTTAGCTTTCTAATCTGTACTAGTAAGAACCTTAATACGAATGAAGAGAGAGGAAGAAAGCTTAGGTACTGAAATTTCAAAGAAAAATAATGAGAAGGACATTGGGCCCCAATATAACAAGAGAGGGAGAACAAAGGATGAAAAGAAATGCTGAAATTGAAGAAGAATATAAGTGAGACAATGAGTCAGATACATAAAATCTCGATGCTTAGAAAGGATAGAGCATATATGGAGACACCCACACTCAGATTTGCTGAGAAGAATAACTAACTGGACATCACTATGGCCCAGATGTAGAGGAAGGCCTAAAAGAAGATGGCTGGATGTGATAAGATGATGTAAGAACAATGCCAGTTAAAGACTGGAAAATTCACACAAGGACAGGAAGAAATGATAAGGAGTAACTCCAGCAGCTAAGACCCACAGCAAACTATAAATGACATAGAGGAATAATCCATCTCAACCAAGAAGAGGATTTTGAACTCCACGGCATTAGCTATAATCCCTAGGGATTGTAAAGCTTAATAATAATGTTACATGTTTAAATAGTTTAATAAAAAAAAATTAATTTTTTAATCAATCACCAAATTACCTATCATGTTAATATATCTCGAGCTATTTAGAATAGCTCGAGGCAGAGACAGTTTCGCCATGTTAATCGCCAATGTCAAGGGGACTTGATAGGGCATGTTAAGAAGAAGAAGAGTTAATATATATTTTTTTATTTAGAAAACAGTAATCTTTAATATGATATTCAGAAATATACTTAATAAAGTAACTTACATATGAGGAATCAGTTAGAACAGCTTCTGAAAATGATCCAGGTTTATATAAAGGCACAAAACCATACACTTCATCACCAATTTTGAATTCATCAGATACACCTAGTCCTTTGGCTAAAATAGTACCTGAAAAATCCCTTCCTACTGTTAGAGGAAGTTCCAATTCACCTCTCCTCATAATTTTCAACAGAGTATTACCATAACCACCTACAAGAAATTAAAAGTGTACTATTATTAATATATATGACTTCATGTCAGAGAATTAGAATAAACTAACTGAAATGCTAGGTGCTTTGAACAACTGTTGAGTTTAAAGCACACTTTAGTTTAATTTTAAATATACATAAAAATATTCTTACCCATCATTGATATATCTATAGGATTAACCGAAGCACTGTGAACTTGAACTAAAACGTCTGTAGGGCTTTTAATAATAGGAAGCCGAGTTTCTCCAAGCTGTGCATTTTGTATACCACCATACTCATGAATAAGCCAGGCCTTCATTTTTAGTGTTTCAGTAAGAGCTTGTTTGTCATAGTTAATCCCAAACATTGAAAATACTCTTTTTAACATTCTGATCACTTGTAAACTTACAACTGTAAGAAATTTTATGTGTCCGCCTTTTTAATTTAATAAAATTTATTTACTTATCTAAATTACTCTTTTATTATTCATAGATTTGAATTAAAGATGACAAGGATATTTTCAGATGTATATAAATCTTTAACTTCGGTAAAAAAACTGACAAAAAATTATAATATGCGGATCAAGGATCAAGGATATGATCAAGGAATATGCGTATGTATTGGTTGGTATGGTATGATCTAATATTGGAAAAATTATAAGTACATTAGAATAAAAATTTGAGGTATGCACTGTATCATTAACCTGACACAAATCTTATATGTGTAAATGCTTGGCTAAATATAATTATAATAATATAAATGAATATTTTACATATATGCGTCTATAATTCCTTGGGGTTTAATATTTTTGTTGATATATATCACATGTCACAGTGTGGTTATGTTATGATGTTATGACAATTAAACAGCAGTGGGACTCTGTGCCATGTAGTATTCTACATATAGAGAAGATTCTACAACGTTGGCACTCCGTACATCCGCATTGTCGCATGAATGCTATTATTTTGGTCGTTTCGTTTCTATCTCCTGAGACCAATGACGTATAATATATAGACTCGGTGAACGCTTTAAAAAGTGTCCAAAACATGAATACCTTTGTTATTGTTTATTGTTTTGATACGAAGATGCACGAAGTTCATGATTTCTTACGAAGCATCACGAAGTTGATCTTGTGTTTGAAAACATCATGGACGTACTCCATTTTGTGTGACAAGCAAATTTTATTTTAAATTGTTGATAGTTATTTACTTACTATTTTAGTAAAAATGCCATACTATTTTATCAAAATAATTATTTCTCTTATAGACGGGAACAAAAAGAAATCATAAATATTTAATTTTAATTAAAAAAATAATTATTGTCATTAACATATAAATGAGCACGCCGCTGTTGTAATAAACATCTTCAACTTGAGCCGAGATCTTTCGGACACTCGATTCTATAGCGAGAATAGGGGACTGCGTAGTCTATATATTATACGTCATTGCCAGAGACCTATCGAATTCTATATAGCGCAAGCGTATTATATTCCAAAAGCAAATTGACAGTAAATTTATTTATTTTTATTTTGGAGATTAAGGTTATGTGTACATTCTAACTGTTTTTGGTTTTTACGTAAGAGTTTATTTTATTTTGCTGAGATCGTGGAAATAGTGTAGGCATGTTACCTATTAATATAATAAACATACTAGCAGGGGAAAATGAGGAGCGGTTAGAGCAAATTCGTATCGAAGCGTTAACAAGGCGCCAAATGTGAGATGAAAGCAATCCTTTCGCTATAGAAGATATTCGATTTAAAGAACTCTAGGTTGAATAAGGAGATGGCACAATGTGTTTATAATCAAATTGCACCCAATATGGTACACACAAATAATTCAGTAGCCATTCCTCCTCTGCTGAAATTCTTTAGATCTCCACCTCCTATGATTTTTTCGTCATATCCTAAACTGTTTAATTTTGTGGTAACAGTTTGCCACACAGCTATTCCTTTAGCTCGTCCCTCACTTCCATTAAATTTATTTGTTATTAATTTTGGATATTCTTCGCAAAATGAAAGCAACATTTCCCAATGTTCCAATCGGGCCCTCATTTTTATCCAAAAATATAACGAAGACTAAGCTCTTTAAAAATGACTTTAAATAACAAAAACAAACAGCAGCATGCAAATGACCCGCGTAATAAACCGAAACCGAAAAAGTCAACCCAAACAATTAAAAACCCCAAAAATAGTACTTTCTTTCTCTAAAATGTGTTACAAACAAAGATAATAGACAATAAATACGATATTTGAGTAAAACCAACAGGTTAATGTTTTTACATTCAATAATAGAGAGATCGGAAAATACCGAAGCGAAACGACATACGCACGGAGTGCCAATACACGTTACTATCGCCGTTGTAGATAGAAAACGACAATAGAATTCTACGATAGAATTCTATGTGGCACGGAGTCCCGCTGCAGGTTAAACAATAGGTTAAACAATGACGTATAATATGTAGACTCGGTGAACGCTTTAAAAAGTGTCCAAAACATGAATACCTTTGTTATTGTTTATTGTTTTGATATGAAGATGCACGAAGTTCATGATTTCTTACGAAGCATCACGAAGTTGATCTTGTGTTTGAAAACATCATGGACGTATGAAAACATTTTCTCCATTTTGTGTGACAAGCAAATTTTATTTTAAATTGTTGAGAGTTATTTACTTACTATTTTAGTAAAATGCCATACTATTTTATCAAAATAATTATTTCTCTTATAGACGGGAACAAAAAGAAATCATAAATATTTAATTTTAATTAAAAAAATAATTTTTGTCATTAACATATAAATGAGCACGCCGCTGTTGTGATAAACATACCTTCAACCTTGAGCCGAGATCTTTCGGACACTTGATTCTATAGCGAGAATAGGGGACTGCGTAGTCTATATATTATACGTCATTGAGGTTAAACAATTACATAACCTCACAAATCATATGTCTGTTTCTGTGTTATGTGTTTCCTTCTAAAACATGGCGCGCGTGCTGAAAAACTTCAAGGCGGCATCACAGAATAATAAACAAAAAATTGTTTATTATTCTGTGGCGGCATCTGAGAGTGGAAATTTTGATTGTTTATTATTCTGTGGTATCAAGGTCACGGTTCGTAGACTTACTACGGTTGCCTCTTCCGACTGGGGTGGGGATGCTTGAGTTACGTCACAGGAGTACACAAGAATACAAAACCCATTTATTCGCGATTGAAACTGAATGTAGAGGGCAGGTCGATTGCAGTGTCATGGCCGATATAAATGGTATAAACAAAAACAAACATAACATTCGGATATTTACCATTGCTTTTCCATGTTTAGTTTGGTTTAAGACGAGTTATTTGTATCATTTAATAATGGAAATTAACCTTAATGATATCTTTGAGTATTGTGGTGAAGCAAAGAGTCCATTGGTTGAAGGGGAAGCAGTTTTCAAGTGATGAATTCCTAAATTTTAACTTTAATGTTTCGAACTGGCTTGTGTATTAATGACGATGAATCCTATTTTGTGTATACCTGGGAACCCAGAATATATTATTCTGTGTAATGTTTGCCTTAACGTATATATGCATTATTATACCTTATGTTTTTAATATGTTAATTTTTATTTTATACTATTTTTTGACATATGTAAGTACTTTATTGTATATTAACATAAATAAATAACTTTAACTTGGCTTTATTGTAAAATAGTTCATTTGATTACATGAAATATGAAATCAACCTACTTTATTTATAAAACATTTTTGTTTTGATACATCCATCCAATCACAGGGCTGAATGTTAAGATTCAAATTACGCCACAGGAGTACAATCCGGCTAAACGTTCATTGGTTAGGCGGAAGAGGCAACCGTAGTAAGTCTAGGAACCGTGTATCAAGGTCTTAAGACCTTGTCAAGTCTAAAAATTTGAAGGTTATTTTTAACAAAAACAAACAAAAATTACTGTAATCTCACTATTTAATTAAATGTATTAAAATTTTTTGCATTAATTCATCCTAACAAAAATTCTTGTACGATAAAGGTAAGTAGTTTTTCAAATTATATACATTTTCTAATGCATATTTAAAGTGAATATCAGGAATACTCATTTTTTAATATACATTGGTTGAATAAAGTAATACCAAAGAATATAGTAAGTGTCTATATTCTTTGGTAATACTTATACTCAGGAAAATTTTGCTTCTGCAGCTGCAGGATATTATTGAAATGTTTAACAGGATCTAACTTATACGTCCATGATCTAACCCTTATCAATAGGAAATATTTAGATCAGGGGTGCTCAACGGTCGATCGCGATCGACTGGTCGATCGCGAGTGCTTTTTGGGTAGATCTCGAGAAGAAAAAAAAATTTTAAGAAGTAGGTAGGTAACTAAACTATTGTCAGCAGAGTTAAACGTTTTTATTAATACTGCAATGATGCTTGACTAAGCATCATTGCAATTCAAAGAAGTGGGGACAACAAAATTCTGCATTCAATATAGGTATGCTGCATGCTGCAGGGAATGGGGAATGTGCTAACTGAATTTGATTAACAATTTTTTTGGCATAGATTCTTTTTAAACATTGTTGTTTGTTAATTATTGCAAATTATTTTTCCTTTAAAACTGACAACTAAAAATAATAACAAAATGCAAAAAATGTTTTGAATTTTTCATGAACATTTTAAATTTTCATTCTTAGTTTTGTTTTTTAATATTTTTTAATATTTTGTCAATCTGTGACAGTTGTGACTTTGATAGTTTTCTTTGGAGAAAGGCCTAGTTTTCCTTTATTATCAAGAGAGTTTTTGTTTTCTTGTACTATTCTAAATGCTGTTGAACAGAAATGCCTGTAACAGCATTAATAATTTAAAGTGATTTGTATGTTAAAAAAATAATTCCTCAAATTTTAAATATACAGAACATGTAGAAAATAAAAAAAGAAATTATGATGATAAGCAACTCAAAGCGATAGAAGTAAATTAAAAAAAAAAGAAATAAAACCGATATATGGGCATTTGTCATTTATCATATATGAGCTTCTATGAAGAAGCCCATATATGATAAATTACAACAAGGTATTACTAAGTAAACTACAAAAAAATAGAGAAATTGGCAAAATTAGTTTACAGAACTGATAAATAAAGTAGAAGAAGAAGTAGAATAAGAGGTATTAATGGAAACAAACCATGAAATTGTAGATGATCACATAGTAATGGAAATATTTACAGAGCAAGAAATCTTAAACGAAATAAAGGGTTGAAAGAATAACAGCTACATGCAGAAACGAAACATGGGGTCTGAAAAAATCAAAAATAGACCCATTACAGAAATTTAAATTAGGAGAGGACTAAGGCGAGGATGCAATATGTCCCCATTAGATACTATTTAATGTATATAGTGGAGTCATTTTTGAAGCAAAAATGCTATCTAAAAGTATTGGAATAATAATTAACAGAAGAACTATCAACTTCATAAGATAAGCTGACGACACTGTGATCATGGCAAGCTCTGCTGAACAACTGAAAAGCTTACTAAACAAGACTGCAATGCAAGATTTAAATGCTTAACAAACAATTACATTAGTCATGATATGGAACCATAGGAGACCATGGTTGAGAGGATCAGGAAACTTAAGTTGAAGTAAACTAAGTATATATACCATAAAAAACAGTTTCAAAACCTTTCCCGTTAAATTTGTTTGGACACCTTTTAAGAATGAACAAAAATAAGTGGTCTCATAAAGTATTTAAATTGTTGATAACTTGTTTAA